TCATATTTGCTCTAGGGACCCATAAAATGGACGTAACAGAAATTCCTTTCCTGACAGGCTGTGCACACAGAGTATGATAAGGAGAGAGAAATACCTGACATCTTGACTTCAAAGTTGTTCTGTCATCATGAGCCTCCAAAATCTGCTTTCCCTCAGAGCTCATAAAAATGCACCATAAACTAGGGGCAAAATCTTAATTGGGGCAATATTTCCTAGCAAACCACCTCTCCCTCCCTCCTTCCTTCCCTCCCTCTCCCCCTCCCTTTTTCTCCTTTTTCCCTCCCTCCCTCCTTCCTTCCTTCCTCCCTCGCTCTCCCCCTCTCTTCCTCCCTCCCTCTTCCTCTCCCCCTCTCCCCCTCTCCCTCCCTCCTTCCCTTCTTCCCTTCCCTTCCCTTCCCTTCCCTTCCCTTCCCTTCCCTTCCCTTCCCTTCCCTTCCCTTCCCTTGTTAACTTCAAACATTTAATTCTCTGCAAGTGTGTTTAGTAATACATAACAAGTCATCAGTAGCTGCAGTACTATTGTGTGGCTAGCTTTTCAGTACTGATATATAGTTAATCATTTTAACAGAAATTTTGCGTTAATATTTTAGCCTGTATCCTAAAGCTGCATGAAATCCTCTGCAAGACCAGTGGATCTGTATTCAGCAATGTGGAGAGTTAAAAAAACTGTCTTGATGTGCTGGACATTTGTCAAGACAAGCTGAAAAGAAACAGTACTGTGAATCAAGGTTATTCGGTTTGCATTCTTTCAGCTATCTCTTTCTAGCTAATTGGAGGCAGTTTTAAGAAGCTGTCATAAATGTTGCTGCTGCTTAGCAGTAAAAACTGTAAGGCTAAAAAATACAATTTTCCACTAAATAATAATTAAAGGGCAAATAAGAAGACATTTCCATAGGTTGGAATATCACCTATGAAGAGAGCTGTTTCTTGCATGAATTTGATAAAACTCTTGGCACATGGAAAAAAAAAAAAGCCAACAAAAAACTGTGGAATGCTGCTGAGCTTGTTTCTCTCTTAGAAGGAAAAAACCCATGCTTTTTTTGCTAGAACTGTCTTCATGCTGCAGCTTCCTATTTTGCTTAGCCTGCAGCCTAAAATTCTACTAATTTTAACCTTTAACTTATTTGATCGAGTCATAACTTCAGCAGATCGACAATAATCTTTCAGCACGTTTTAAACAGAGGAGCAGTTTTGCAGATAGAGAAAAATCAGCCCCTTCCATATTTTTGCTGTAGTACTGCACTCCTCAGCCCTTCCTCAGACATAGCAGACCTCCGCCTTTTTGTGGCCTTGTGTTACACTGCGTAGTTCGGGGATCTTGTTTTGTAGAGAAGGTAGCATTGTGCCAACCAGGATCTTGTTTCCCCCATGCCATAATCCTGTGTTCAAATTATTTCTTAAACTGTTTTTACTGTTTCTTAATACTGTATTTTAATTGCTCAAGCCAGATAAAGCAGTGTTGATTTTAAATGGGTCAGTAACAAATTACTAGTAAATTAAAAACTGCTTTCTGCTCTTCTTAATGCACTTCAGTTGGATACTGTGCATGCTGCTGGGCAAAACTTGAAAATGTTATACAACATAGCAGATTAATCTTACCACAACAAAACAAAATGCACTTTATATTAAAAAATAAAAGAATTTTAAATCCATAGTATTTACTGGCACTAGGACAACCTCTCCTTAGCAGTGAGAAGGATTCTTGCTGTTCAGAGACAACAAACTGCTTTTTCTATCTTTTATTTTTAATTTCCTCTCAGAATCAGACTGAGAGGTTGATGTTTGCCTCCCAGTCTACCTGAGCCATGCTCTGCCCAGCAGAGGTGTGCCAGCCCAGTGCTGCCACCTGTGCCACTTCTTGTGTTGGGGGCCTCCGAGTCTTGGCTGCAGCTCTCACAGCCAGACCATCTTGTCAAGACCATACTTGCATAGGAAGCCCAGAATGATGCTGTCCTGCATGCATCTCCCACCACGCATCTACAGACATCCTCCTGATCTCTTGTTGGAGCCATCAGAGCAGGGATCTGAAGTCTCTTGGATGTTGATGGAAAAAGGCAGCCCAGAGCTCAGGTGGGAAGCTGTGCTCAGGAGCCAGGAGCACTGGCTCTGCAGGCCCCTGCTCACCCAGCAGGCCACAATCTGAGCATGCTGCAGGCTGCAGGACAGGACACTCGAGAAAACTGTCATCTGATCTCAGCGAGTATTGGGTGGTTTTATCTTGTGACCGCATACAGCACAATTCAGCTTTTCCTTTGCCCACCAGAGTGCACAGCTGTGGCAAAGCATATGGATACAGGGGAGTACATAAGCTGCATCATCCCAACTATGCCCACAGATGGGGCAGGTCCAGTCTGATGCCACCTCTACGGTGCCAGGCTGTGTAGCGGGCTGTGTAGAGATGAGGTCAGGAAGCTGCTCCTCTCACTGGCACTACAGTGGGCAGGCAGGGTTGCAAAGAGAAAGAGGCTGTGGTCACTCACTGTCCCAGGGGCAATGCCCTGGTCCATCAGCAACAAACTCTCCTGGCTCCTGCTCCCCATCAGATGCCCTGGGTTGACGTACCTGTAACACTCACCTCCACTGCTACGAGTGCACCCCATGGGGCCCCAGCTCCCTGAGCCAGGCAGGGGCAGGGAAATGCTGGTGATGCTGTGGGATGGGCACCAAGAACTGCTGTTGGCATTCCTACAGCATAACTCAACCAAGGCCTCATTCAGTGCTCCAAGACTCACAGCTGTGTTCAACGGGAGTCCAGGAATGGATTCACACTGGACTCTGCTGGTGCCTGAATGTATAAAGCAAGGGTGAGTGAAATCACGGTCACCTATCGCTGACTTACACTTACAACCCCTTGGTCAGTGACCTCACAGCCCTCTGAGGCATGTATTCAGGCACTGGCCTGGGCCTCCATCACTCTCCAACATTCAGTGATTTTCCTTTGTAATGATGATACATTTGGGAAAATAAAAACTGCAGGTTTACTATCTCCACACTAATCCATCTTCTGTGAACTGTTTCCACTTTCTGAAACTTCTTTGAGATACACATTTTTTTCTGGTCCTGGTTTGGATGCAATACAAATTGGTGACAATCTCTATTTCAGGGCTGCTTTTTGCAGGCTGTTTGCTCACACTTTCCTCTGCAACTTACTCTAGGGGACCTGCTTCAGCAGGGGTTGGACTGGAGGATCTTCCTATGACTCTGTGATCTTCTTGATTTTCTACTGGATTTTTTTTTTTTTCCCCTGTTTTAATTAGATTATCCTCTGTGTCTCCCAGGGAAAAACTAACTACACATCTGTGTAACTATGGCACTTTTTAAGTTTCTTATGTTCTGATTGGAAGAAGTAGAGCACAATGTATGCTGTAACTTGTTTTTAGAAATACCACATATTTTAGCAGTATATTTTAGAAATATTGTTGTATTACGTGATTAATTCTTGCTTGCAAAATTGCAATAGCTTTTAGATGTTGCAAATGGTATGGATGTAGTACTATAAACTAGAAAACATGCTGTAAGGCTATTCTGTTTTGATAAGAGACCCTCTGCAAAAGAAACACAATAATGAAAGCCAGGGCCTCCACACAAGGCCAAATTGTCTCACTCTGGGATTAGGCTGGGATGCAACAGACAGGCGTCAAGATACTCCCCTCTATCCTCCTTATCTTCTGCACCCCAGCATGTATCATTAAAAGATGGGTTGCCAAACTTATCTCTATTCAAGGACAAGCAGATGTCCAGAAATAATGGCTGAGTGCTGAGTGAGGAGATGTTACAATTTCAGAACTATAGATTACTTACAATAGGCATTTCCCTACTGAGCATGTGTCAATGAAGAAAGTTCGTGTAGAGGACAAGCAAGGAAGATCATTGGATGAAGTAGAAGACTGTTGGTTGGACTGTCACGATGCTAGAAGGATGCTAGATGGTAGAAGAGACCATGGAATAGAAGATTGAAGACCTCATAAATCACTAGCTGAGATATATGTTAATTGTCTCACGTGTAATTGATGAACATGCACTATCTGTGGAAATATACTGGACTCTGAATCATGTGATCTTTGAAGCGATTATGGTGGAATTATCCCCAGTACTGCTGGCACTGCTAATAAAGAATACCTTATTTAGCAGTGACAGAAGTTTGCTGTTAAGTTCCTATGCATCAATTTCTTTGATTCAGTTCCTAAGGAACAAATATTTGCCTTCTTTTCATGCACACTCTCTTCTTTGTCATCTTAAAAAAAAAAAAAGTAAGATTCCAGTCATCATTTTTCATTAATTCTTTGCCACTTCTGAGCCATGGCATCAAAACACACTGGTTAAGTCTTCCTAAAATGTTCAAAATGAAACCGGGATTATCTGCTTTTGATTTCGCTTCAGTAACAACGAATTTGTCTTTTTCTCATCCTCCCAGCAAAACACCCAAGGACAAGCCAAAGCAGCCCGTTTCTATGGCCATACATCACGTACGTCTCTATCAGGCTTTCAGGTAATTATTTTTAGCGACTGATCTGTGACTGATTGGTGCCAGCACAGCCGTAGGGCACCAGCAGCAGCGCTGGCCGCCAGCGGGAGGCGCTGAGGGACGGACGAGGGCGTGCTTTGATGGATACGTGCTGCCAAGCAGCAGTAAGCTTCGACACGCGTGTGCTGCTTCCAGGAAGGCACTGTAAGGTATCGTTCATAGCGCTGCTTACTGGAGCTAACTCTTTTCCAATCTAAGCGACTACTATGGGTCTGTGGAGGATGGCACCACGAACAAACCCCGCACGCATCACCAGCCCCATCATGGCTGCCACACCCCCACAGCCCGCTGTCACGGCGCCTCCTCCACAGCGCCCCCGACACTCGGCGGCGCCCAGTGGCAGCTAGAAGCCCCGCCTCCGTCGCACCTCTCCTCCAATCGCTTTTCGACCTCTTCTCTCTTCTTGCCGCGGTCTGGAAGGCGGACGATTGATGGACATTCGTTTCGTCCAATCGCAGAGCTCCGCGGCGCCGTGTGGGTGGTGCGGGGCAGCGCTGTTGTTTGGCGCGAGAGAGCAGTGCGGGGCTGTCTGGCTCCGCGGCCGCTCGCCCCTCGCAGCGGGCGAACTTGCGCTGCGTCCCGCACCTTCGCGGGCCGGGCTCCTGCCATGGCTCTGGTAGCTGGCGTCATCCGGCGGCTGGATGAGGCCGTGGTGAACCGCATCGCGGCCGGCGAGGTCATCCAGAGGCCGGCAAACGCCATTAAGGAGATGATAGAGAACTGGTAAGCTCCTGCGCCCCGCTGGGGGGACGCGCGGCGGCTGTGGGCACGGCTGTGGCACGGCTGTGGCACGGCTGGCCGCTGTGGCGTGCTGCCTGGCGGCGAGGGGAGCTGCAGCTACTGCTGGGATGCTCCGGCCGTACGGCTGCGCCCAGCCGAGGGGCGGCAGGAGATAACGCTTGTGCTGAACGCCTGGAGGGACGGCTCGCCCCAGAAGGATTCCCTGGACGGGGCTTGGCTCAGTTTGCTGCTGTGTTGGATGTGAATCGTTTCCTCTGAGCGCCAGGTGAAAGGTCTGTCGACGATACAAGTTGTGGAATTTCATAGTTTCACCTGCACGTCCCTTGGTACGGCAGCTGCACGGTTCTTGGACTCCTCCAGGGATGGTGATTCCAACACCTCCCTGGGCAGCCTGTGCCACTGCGCCACCACTCTTGGAGAAGGAGTATTCCCTAATGTCCAACGTGAAATACACATATTTATTCTCTAGAATTGCTGTTCTGTAATGTGCTTTATTGGTTTCTACAGTTTGGATGCTAAATCTACAAGTATCCAGGTGGTAGTCAAGGAAGGTGGTCTGAAGCTCATCCAGGTCCAAGATAACGGCTGTGGTATCAGGGTGAGTAAAGCTTAAAACAGATCACAGAATCAC